ACATTTAGGTCACTCAAGGCATTACAGCAATACTTGCGATAAAAATAGATTACAGCGTAGTTGTAGACACGCAATATAAACTGTTTTCTTTAACCCGACGTTAATAGTGGATTATTTGAATAATATGCTCTCACAAACCCCTGGAAAATTCTTGCGGTGCATTGTTCTTGGTAATGTAATATGAATTGGTGGGCACTGTGAAGAAAGCATTCACTTCGAGGAACAAAATTGCTTTCTCCCGGATCCTGTATGCGCCATATTTTAATTAGTCCCACTTAATGAACGTTCAGAGTTGATTTACGTTCAGAGTTTTGGGCCTTGAAACCCGTGGTACGTATATGTACCGCCAGCTTTAACGTTCAATAACTCGTATGGTTCTCATAATAAACGGCAATTATTACTTTAAGCAACATCAATTTATTTATCTTATGATGGAAACTCGCTGTGTTTTATTTGCTGTAAGAACTGAATGTTGTGTGTTACTTAGACGAGCTTCTACTTCGAAGAATTACTTGTGGTCCGTAACATTCTTGTTTGAGGCCTTCTGTAGCCTACACGAAACGCAAATGAAACTTTACCAGTAAAAAGAAATAAGCTGGTAAGCGATGTGAAATGTAGATCTTTTTAAAGACTTCATTTTTCATTTGGAACATACTCCAATACCTTGAATATTTAACAAGATACGAGGAAAATTAATTTCCGACTCCTAGGCGCGTCCCAATTAGCCTTGCAACAGTAGACTTGTATGTGCAGTAAATTAACGCTAAGGCTAACGAGGTGTGGAAAATCATAATGAACGCATGTTGAAAAAACATGTTCCGTGCTTCACTGGGGAAAGGACTTGCTGTTATATTTCCGTATTGGGTTCTTAGCCCTCAGCGGTGCTGTTGTGTCGATGCTTATTAAAGGCTCTGAGTCGTGAGTTAATGATCACCAAGTACAACATTGGCCGTTGAGATTATTGATGTACGAAAGAAACTTAGTTATGCAGACATCCTTGGTTTTAATTACGTGCAAACTTTCGTACTTCATAGCTCGGTCAATTCCAGTTTACACACTCATGTGCTGTTCTACCACACGGCCCAGTCGGTTTGCATTGCAGCACACTCCGTCTCATAAATATGTCCAATAAAATCTTCTCCGGCAACCAGTCGCCTTCCGAGGATCCGGTCACATCAGAACCCTGAAGATGGGGACAGAGTTTGTTCCCGAAACGTCGGTTTACTACGGTAACCAGTTAACGCGGCTGATTGCCCGAGAAGATTTTATTGATTGTACTCGCCGCGAAAGTCTCAAATCCTATATCATAAATATGTTGTTAGAATCCTGAATAAGACTGTTTGGTGGTTCCACTGCCCCGTTAGGACAATACGGGGACTTTGCCTTAACCATTTAAAGCCCAGTGGTAACTTTTTGTACTGCCAACTGTAACATTCAGTAACTCCGTATTTTACCCACATAGTGTATTTACGATTCATGGAATAAACAGCAATTATTTTCCTAAACAATATTAACCAAATGATCTTTATAATGGAGAGGCGTTGTGTTTGATTTTTATTTACACACGCTTCGCTCTTCGAAAGGTTAATGTAAGCCAAAATTCATTTTTTCTACATCGTTCCAGATACATCACCCATAAAATCCCTAATTTAATTTGACGTTGCAGACAGAGACTCTGCAGTTGATAAAGAATAGTAAAATTACGAAAAGAACATAAGCGCTACGTAGTGTCGTTATGTAAAAAAAAAGAGTAATAATAACTGACTTACATATGAGACTGCGAAAAATATACCTAGTTTTGTTCAAAACATTATTTCATCTCTAATGAAAAGATAAAACCGGTAACTGGTTGTAAAATAGTAGTACTTTCCATTTTTTAATAAATTACGTAGTGTGTAATACTAATTAGTGGCCCGCGAACCGCCGGTGGAGAAACCCTGTACTCTGCTATACAATGCATGCAAAGTGTTGCTATTTTTAATGTGTAGCGGCTGGCGTCTTTCCACTTGAATGCCGTGCTTGTTCATATGCACAGCGTATGCCTTTGTGGGACATTAGCATCAATAGAAGAATTGTTATAGGTGACGTTGATATCTCACTGTAATGATTCTCATGGAGAACACAGAATTAACTCCATGAAATGTTTATTGTAGTACAGTCGGCCAAGAACTTACCCACCTTTCATAGGAGCATAAGATTCATTTCCGTGTTCACAAGAGCACGCCTCCTCAGCCAGATGAATCCAGTTCCCATCCTCATACACCGATCCATTTTAATATTTGCCTCTTACCTACGTCTATGCTTGCCTAGTGCTACCTTAGCTTCTAGTTTTTCGATTAATATTTTGTATATGTTTCTAGGATCTAAAAATTAAGTCCCTTCCATATACACCCGCACAAAATGTGAGATACTTTTTGTATTTAATTGTTTACGCTTTTGGATTGAAGATGGGAAAACAAAATATTCCGAACTGAGTAAATGAGTGGCAGTAAGCATTTCTCGAATTTAACGCTCTCTCGATTTCCTCATAAACATAATTTTGATGTATCAGTGTCGATTAATTTTCGCCACAATTCATTGCACCTCACGTAGCAAGCGAAATGTGACTTTAATGTGGGTCGCTCCATGAGTCATTGAGTACCTACACGGTGACTAGCTCTTGGCTTCCATTATCTGCTGATAACCATGTTGTATTTGAAGAAGAAACAAACATAAACACTTATTATCATATGTAACGTTACCAGCTGACAGGTATCACAGAAGTGTAAGACAAAAAATTCACACAAGATTTTAATCGGAAATCATGGAGGTAGAAGAAGACCACTTAGGAGGGATCTAGACGCAGATGAGGTGATATCAGAACGGATCTTAGAGAGAGAAAAAATTGTGCATTGGATTTACCTGGCGTCAGTACGAAATTACTACAAATGTTTGCACAACACTTAAGTGGGTGTAAATATAATTTCCAGGAAACAAAATTTGTGTGTGACATATTCACTCACGTAGACCTAAACGGAAAAGTACCATCGGAAAAAGAGTCGTGCAGGAAATTGCACTTTAGCTTTGTTTAAATGTAAATGGTACAATCGATAGAATGTGTGGGATATTTGAAGAGTTCCAGAGTAATCTATTCCTTGCAATAAATTCAAGTTGACCGTCTTTCAGTTCTCAGACGTACAGTTGGAGTCTAATTTTCGAATGACTCTGTGTAGGCCAGTGTGCGAGATTCCTCTGAAATTTGGACGGGAGACTGCTAAAACAGCAAAGTGTCCATACGAGTTGTTTGATATGAGATTGTATTCTAATTAAAGTCTAGAAAGTGGGTCATAGTATAGAAAATATCTGCGTAACAACAAATGAGTTGTTTTATCTGTAATGTTTATGTAAAGATTTCCAGCTTTGGAAAACCTTTATTTAACAGGATAAACGTATGAGTGTTAACTCTTTCAATTAAGCTGTCATTCATTGCGAGCCGATGGAAATAAACATACCATGTGTACTATAGTCCGCTATTGGACACTATCTTGTGCCAGTTTCATTCTGTCCAGATACAACTTATTTATTAAGATCAGTTTTAATATTACCTTCTCATTTACGCGTACATCTCATAAAGTTGTCTTCCGTTCAGTTTTATATGAGCGAATTATTTTTTTTAAGATTACTAAATATTTATTATATAAATGCTATTATTTTTTGTCATTGACTAAAAGCAACACAAATTTGGTAATCATACTGTGTTTTAACTTTGCAGCCCTCATAGAATTTTTAGTTTTTTAAGATGCAGGAAAGGTTGTCTAGCCCTGTTATAAGTGAAGCGTAACATGATAAAGCATTTCGAATCTTCTTGTTGGAACAGTGGTCTCGCCTTCACGTTATCTGATTATCTGAAATTTTATTCCTGGCATTGCCAGAGTCCATTTCGAACGTTTAAGTTGGTGCTTGCAACACTCCGCTCTCCAAGCATTGGTTAATGTCAAGCGCTAGACATAATCACAATTTTAAAGGTTCAATGGACTGATAAATCCTTGCGTAAATCTAAACGTAGTTCCATTCATTATTCTTAAAACCTGTGCACTGACTGCATTTAAAGAGCTGGTAAACTGATTAAGGGCTTCTTTGTAGGAATTATGAATTTGCTCAAAATGGGAAGATTTTGGTGATAACTGTTTGGAAATTATCAATGACTGTAAATCACATGTGTTAAATTGTTTTGGCGACTTAACGGACAATTGAGGTCACTACTGATATTTATATTTCCTCAGAATCTCGACGGAAAACTGAGAGTTTCCGTTAAAATATGCCACGACCATTTATCCTCATACTATTTCAAATTCACCCGTCATTTAGACCAGAGGTCCACAACCAGTGTGTCGCGAATTTTATAAGAGATGTTATATTTCTGCGTTATAGATAGAAAAAGGCAGTAATTATAATTCTTTCATCACCGATATTTTTATTTAACATGCGTTATTTTTTGTTTAATATGCCTGCATTCGTATAGTGCAAGGATGTGCATGTAAATACGTACATGTTTATGGCCGGACTTAAATTTTGTATCCCCATTTCGTGAGGCAAAATCTTTTAGTGTGCCGTTATGTGTCATAAACAAATTAGCAGTAAATGTCAAATTGCTTCTGTCCATTGATTGCGTTAGCCTACACACGAATTCAGGTGATGCCTGAAGGTAAAGTTAAATCCCGCGCCTACAAAGGGGGGCGAAGATAAACGCTTTAGGGAAAATCTACAGCTGATGGTATTAGTGGCTGTTATTGTTTCAGGTGGATGCGCCCAACGGAAAAGCACGTAGATGACTGTCCAGGCAGCTAAAAGGAAAATAAGTGTGTTAGGTTTTAATATACGGCAGTGTTTCCAGCTGTAATAAAAACGCTGTGTGAACCTGCATAAATTGTCAGGCCGACAGAGGTCCAGTTGAGAAACACTGCATTGGAGAACATTTACTTACTTTGGATGCTAATGTAAGTTTTTTCTTGTATCCACAGGAAATATTAGTGCCGTGTTAACGTATAAGAGGAAAGGCGAAGGTTTGGCTAGTCTTGTGGATGGAGACGTTAGGGTAATGACATACATCACAGTGGGCAACCCCTGTCCCAAGGAAAGCTCCAATATCAACAGGTGAGTGAGGTGCCAGCTCTAAACTTAACAATTTTCAGTACAAGTACAAAACTTGTTTCAAATATGCATGAAGCTTAAGAACTTTCAACAGAGGCAAAATAATCTACAGAGTAGGAGTGATTTAACGTAATCTTTTCATGCAAACTTGAATACTTACATAATGATTTAAACTTTCAATTGTGGGTGGAAAATTATTGAATAACTTGATATCCGTATAGTACCGGGTCTACAGTTTATGAGCTTACATTGCGTTATCGGCCGGTGCTGTTGACGAAGGCGGGACTTGTACGCGTGAGTCACGGGCGAGTCAGTTTCGGTGCTGTTAGTAACAGCGAACTACGAATATTTCTCGTCACTAATACATGTTATTACATTAATTGTTTTTACCTTAAATCACAAAAAGAAAATATTCGACAATTTCCCAAGAAGAGCTTCGTCGAGTATTTCGAAACATGTTAACGAGATGTGAAACTGCTTGCAAGCACAAGGAAGTCACTTTGAACATCTTTTGTGATTTAAGGGAAGAACAATTAATGTAATAACATGTATGAATGTAGTTCGCTGTTACTAACAGCACCGAAACTGATTCGCCCGTGACTCACGCGTACAAGTCCCGCCTTCGTCAACAGCACCGGCCGATAACGCAATGTAAGCACGACCGTAACCTCATAAATTGTAGACCCGGTATAATCCTTTGTGATAACTAATGAGGTTAGTATTTGACATATTAAGGTCATATTTATGTCTTGTTTTTAAATTGTGTACATCTATATTTCCTCGAAATTTTCCCAAGTTTTCCACCGCAAATGATTGTAGACAGAATATGAATTTACTTGTAAGTGGAAGCATAATAAATTTCCGAAATAATTTTCTACGACTCTGCTTTTAACACCTGCCATTATTCTAATTATTTTATTTTGGATGCAGAGCTTAGTTCTGGAATATTATATGCAATGTGTTATTTTTCTGATTTAATTTACTGTCAAAACCTATATTTCAAGAAGGACAAATTTTATGTAGTTTGTTTTTATCAAAATTTATTGCCAGTTTGCTAACTTTAAACAATTTATTTAGGTTGGGAAAGATATCATTCACTATAATTTGAAGATAGACCAATTCTGGATGTGCTGTAATGATACTTATATCATCAGCAAAATAATAGGTTTGGATTGATTGTTTATAGTTGCAGGCAAATCATTGATATATGAGGAAAAGGAAGGTGCCAAGTACCAAACTTTTTGGCACTCCATGATTTACAGTGCGCCATTCTGAATAGGTGTTATAAATAACTCCCTGATAGCAGAACCCC